TTTTAAGATATTCCTCATTTTCTCTCAAAGAATTCTGTGTCCTGGTCACTTACTAACACAGACGAGGCCTGTGTTGGTGACCATACATCACTGAGCAGCTCAGTGGGTACCACCAGCAAGCAGCTTGCCCATCTTGGGCCCATCTGAGAGTGGTGGTTGATGCTTAGGTAGTGGTTTGAGCCTGTGCTGAGAGTAGTATAGTCTCACAGCCAGACTTCTCTATTGTCTTAATGCCTTTGCCTGTTTTTCAGGACCAGGCAAAAATGATAATGCCGAAAAGGTAGCTGAGAAGCTGGAAGCCCTTTCTGTGAAGGAGGCCAGAGATGAGGCTGAGGAGAAATCTGAAGAGAAGCAATGAATCACTCTGTCCTTTTCCTTTTTCTTTTTAAAAAATTTCCCCACCCTTTAAGGTGTGTTTTTATTCTGTTTTGTTTTTACAAGGGACTTTATAAAGAACTGAATTCCAGCCTTCAGGGTTTTTTGTTTTGTTTTTAATTTTTAATTTTTTTCTCCCTAAGTTTTGACACCATTGAACATGACTTCAGAAATCCATTCCCCAGTCATGAAAATGTACTGTGCTAACTTTCTTTTCCATAGTGGAAACACTTATTTATAGTCATCAAAAATAGTGAATAAAAATGCCTTTGAAAACCTGTACCAGCTGGCAAGGCTGTGTAAGGGGAAGGGAGACTGTGCCTAGAAACCTCCTTGGCCACCTATGTACCTGAGTGTGCTTTGCAGGTCTGTGCAGCCTGGTTTCTTAGAATCAAGTGGTATGTTCTGCTGTGGCTCTTATGTAACACTGGACACTATGGCATGGTTTGTCCATGCTGGTCCTAGAGTCCACTGGGTGTATGGGATGGCAGCCGAAGAGCCCAGTGGGGCTCAGGCTGGCATTCAGGGCCAAGGTGTACTGTTTCCTTGCGTTGGAACTTTGTGCCTTTGTATAGGTTGGCTGTGTGTCCATACGAGTGTGTGTGAGATGAAGGAAGACCACCTGGGTGAAGTGGGGTAGTAGGCAGCCAGTCAGGTCTGCCTATTAGGAAAACTGGTTTTGGTTGGCTGTGGTTAATAAGGCAGCCAGCCCTTAGTTCAGTGGAGGGAAAGACCACCCTATAGGTGCATATTCATTCTAGTGCTGTCCTTTTGGAAACCATTAGATGCCCTAACACATCTTCAAATAACACTCTAGGGGTTTGGATCTTCTGGGCTTGAAGTCTAAACTCGGCGCCGTTAGTTAGGATTATGGGAATGGAATAAAACTTGGCATATGTGGGCCTGGAGATTTTGAGTTCAGTTATAAACACCCACATCAGGCTGCTCACAATTAACTCGAGCTCCAGGGGATTAGACCTCCTCTTTGCCTGCTCAGGTAGTACATGGATGCATGCATAAGAAAGCCTTGATGTATATTTTTGTGCTGACATGGGCCTCAGGAGCTGTACCAGTCTTGCCTTTCACAGGGTAGGAGCCATGGTGGCCTGATCCCTTAATAAGAGGAACTGCTGGTTGCTTTGTAGCTGACTATCACTAACACCTGCCAGAGGTGCTTTAGAGTGTGGCTGTCTGGTCTCCATCTGTTAATTTGTTTCTTGTTACTGGACCTGTTATGTCTGTCCTTGTCAGAGGGTGTGCTTACAAAAACAGCTTTTTAAAAATTTTAAGTTAGCATTCAGTTTTCGTTTTGACATTTCTGTATAGGCATATTGTATTTTGTCCATGTCAACACCACCTCACCCCCTGCAAAAGTACCTTTTTTTAAAAGCCAGCTTAAGACTACTGGCTGTCTCTTGGCTTACTCCATCCCAGGAAGAGATCTGCCTGCATAGGGGAGACTGATGAACTGGAATTGTGACATTATTAGCCACAGATGGCCTTCAGTGTACTTCATTAAGGGCTGCTTGATCTTCCTCAAGGGAACCCCTGAGCCAGGGCATTCATTTCAACAAGGCAAAGTAACCTTTTGCCTTGAGTTGTAGTAACAGGCAAATGTGCTTTTTGGGTAGGAGAAATATTCACCAAGTAGAAAGTTTATTTCCATTACCAGTGTTTGGAAGAGGATGGTTGTGGTAGCACAAATCTTGAGTCAAATCCAAAAGGGTTCTACACTACAGATACAGAAAGGCCTTTCCAAAGTGGTGAGGGGACACTGCTGTCCTGTGTTCAGGCTGTATTCTGGTCTACATTCAAGGAATTGCTTGTTCACACTTGTGGAAGGTGTAGCTGAAAGGAACATGCATTGATCCAAGTCTGAGTGTCTTCTCTATTGACAGTGGGCTGGAGGATATCAAGGGGTTGTTGAAGCTACCCAGCCTGCCATTGTGTCCTGAGGCAATGGTAGACAGAGGCAGTACTAACTGGTCTTATCAGGTGTTAGACTGTAAGAAGTGTATAGTAGCACCCTCTTAACCATAGGTTAAATCCCCAGTAGATGCTGTAAACTTAGGGGTACCAAGTCCTCTATGTATTATGTTTGTCGCTGTATACATACCTGTGAAAGTTTTAGTTTATAAGGTAGGTAGGTATAATGGGAGATGAAGCCAGACATGACTGCAGTAATACAGTGAACACAATCTAAATAGCTTACTGTAGGTCTTAGCAACACTTTGCTTCACTGGGTCTCTGGCATCACTTCTGTTGAAACACAAGAAGGCTACAACAGGAAGTGGGTAAGCCAAGGGAATTCACATCCAAGGCAGAGAACAGAATGGTGCAGTTATTAAGTTGATTGGTTGGTTTGACAGCCTCATATAGCCCAGGCTGGCCTGAAACTGTAGCTGAGGATGACCTTGAATTCTGTGTCCATCTCCTAAATGCTGAAACTACGTAGGCATGCCATGTTTATATGGTGCTGGGCTTTGTTAGGCCCATAATTCTACCAACTGAGCTACACCCTGACATTCTACGTAGCTTTGCTAGCCTGGAACTTACTATGTAGATCAGGCTAGCCTCAAAGTTGAGATCCACCTACCTCTTCCTCTTTCCCCCAGTGCTGGGACTAAAGGTGTGTGCCACCATACCCAGCTAGCTGGCTAGCCTTGGCTACACAGTGAAACCCATCTCAAAAACCAAACTAGCTGGGTGCCACAGCTAGCAAGACTTGAACTCTGAAGCAATCTTCCTGCCTCAGTCTTCCAAGGGCTGGCATTACATGAGGCACCACACCAAGTTAACAGTACACAAATCTGAGTTATTTCTGGAATTTTCTATGTAATATTTTTGAGCTGTGGATAGCCAAAAGCATGGAAAATCAAAGTGCCATTGTGTGCTGAGAAGGGCTGACTCCCACCTCCCACTTTTGTCTCATTCCCTTTTCCTGTCCATGGCTGCTCTGGTAGAGGAGATCTGCCTGGGCCTCACAGTGCCCATGTTCCCTGCCGTCACCACAGGCATCTGACCTCAGTAGCTGGGGTATGTCCTGCAGGACAGCTCTGCTTGGGATTCGACATTAACCAAAAGAATCTCACTAGGCGAGCAGTCTCTTCCATGACCACAGTGTTTGCTATTTTTCTATGTGACTCTGGCAGTGGAGCAGTGTCTTGGTACCCTACATATACAACATCTGAGTAGATTCAGAACCAGAAGAACTCTGCAGAGGGGTGGGGGTGAGTGGGGGAGCCCTCTGAGAGGGCCATAGAGGTTCTGAGCTTTCTGTATAATGGGCTGCAGAAGGACAAGAGCAAAGTCCAGACTATAGGTGGGGTAAATTTAGCTGAATTGTGTGCCTAGTGCAGAGGACAAGAGGATAGATACTATCTGAGAGCAGAAAGGAGGGCACCCATTCAGCTTGCCACTATGCCCTGGGGCCCTTTCACTGGCTATCTTTTTTTTTTTTTTTTTTAAATGTGCATTGGCATTTTGCCTACATGTATATCTACCCGAAGGTGTCAGAACTCCTGGAACTGGAGTTACAGTTGTTAGCCACCATGTGGTTGCTGGGAATTGAACTCAGGACCTCTGGAAGAGCAGCCACTGCTGGTAACTGCTGAGCCATCTCTCTAGCCCCTCACTGGCTATCAATGCAGGAGAATTCTTGGTGAACCTGTGTCTTTTGGTATCAAATGACCAACAGAACAGAAATTTGAGAGAAAGCACATTACTGTTTATGCTGTTGAAAAGCTGTTTCTACCTTAAGAGATCCGTCTGAGCTGTGGGCCTCCAGGCTAATGAGTCCTAGGCCAACTAGGTTCTGGCTGTACAGAAAGAGATAGCAGCAGCCAAGGGAAGTGCTCTCCCAGCATCTCCATCTGGGAAGGGGTGGGAGACAGAGGAGTGCCTTCATCCTGAAGAATCGCCAACCAGCATAGGTTTCAGAGTAGATGCTGTCCCTGCGTGATGGAGTGACCAGAGCAGGCAGTGAAGTTTGACTGCGTCCCTGCTCAAAACACTAATCTGCCAGAGGAAGCTAATGTAGATGCCTATAGCCTGCCTGCCCACACTGCAGCATCGTTGGGAGGCCGGTCCACCTTAAGCCGCAGCGCCCTGGCGCTGGCAGGTGGGATTTCCCGCGGGTGGGGAGCATATGCGCACCCTCCATTAAAGGCCTGGGCAGGATACTGGTGCTTTCTTTAGGGCACCAGCCTTCCAAAGGCACTTTTCGGCCTCCTGCTTACACATGCCCTCAGTCAAGCCTGCGGCCTGAGCCAGGACGCAGAGGAACTCGGTGGCCCAACTCTATAGTGTTTGGAGGGCTGCAAGTCGGATAAGGTTTTGGTACCCATGATGCTCAAACCTTGTAACAGCAATCTTACCCCATACCCTAATGACTGCCTGGGGTCCCAGCCTGCTCCGGGACTATGTTTGGGGAGCACATAGGCCTAAGAGGGGTATCGGGCTAGGTCCTGCAAGGAAGAAAACCCGGCTTCCCACGGTACTACAAATACAGAAGGTCGCAGCACGTTCGTGGAGCGGCGAGCTGGCGGACAAGAGGAGTCGGCCGCCGGCGCTCCGCCCTCGGCCCGCCCCCGCCGCCGAGTCCACCTTAAGGGGCGCGCTGACATCAGCGCGCCGCCGCCGCCCGTGGGGTGGGATTTCCTCCGCTGCCGCTGCCGCGGATCCTGCGCCGCGTCCAGCCCGCGCGCCCGACCTCGGCCCGACCCGGCCGGCCCCGCCCGCCCGGCCTCGGGGAGGGATGCGGCGGCGCGGTGCCCAGGATGCCCCGCAGCCCCGGGACGCGCCTCAAACCTGCCAAGTACATCCCGGTGGCCACAGCAGCTGCGCTGTTGGTTGGCTCCAGCACCCTCTTCTTCGTATTCACGTGAGTCGGCGCCGGGTCCAGAGCCTGGTGGTAGCGGGAGGCCGAGTGGGTTCACGTGCCCCACGCGGGGCAGCGGGCTGAGCGGATCATCAGGAGAGGGCAAGGGGGGCTTCATCCCGGGAGTGGGCACAGGTGAATGCCTAACCACTCTTGAGCGTTCTAGCAGGCCCTGGGTGTGGCTGCAGCCCTTCTTTCCCGCGGAGCTTTGGAGAGGGGGACGCGTGTCACCCGGAGTCACCAGCCTTCCTCGCAGGCAGAGTGGGAGCTGTGAGCCCCTAGTCGCGGCCAGCTTGTAAAACCAAGTTATTCCTGCTATTCCCGCGTAGGTGTGGCCTGCCCCACACCCGCGGCTGTCTAGGGCCCTCCTACCCTTCCTGAGCACAATACTGTTAAGAGGTTACAAGCCAGGCTGTACCCAGGCTCCATACCTACACTTCTAGCCACGAGGGACAAAAAGACCTCAGAGACCAGGCCACCAGTTATGGGGAGGGAGCACTCTTACTAGCCTGGCACCCAGTGGCTCCAGCCGCAGTTTCTTGACACCACTGGCTCACAGGTCATGGGCTAGTGATCCATCTTGAGGATCCCTGACCACTCGTTTCTTTCTACAATTCCAAAGCCTTGACCCAGCCTAGGTGACCAGAGGGATGTCCATTTATTTCCAGGTGAGCCTGGGGTGGACCTGAGCCACCCTTTTCAACTCGGCAGCATTTGTGGGAGCCTAATGGTGGAGTCCTTACCTGGAGGCTGGGGTTGGGTGGGTGCCACCTGCTGCAAAGAGCAAGTTTAAAAAAGGCTTGTGTGGATGGGCTTATTTCTGGCTCAAGAGAGCCTTTATGTTCTTAGATGTTGCAGACTGTGGGACAGGAATGGGTGGTGGTAGGTGGGCTTGTAGAACTAAGATGAGAGGGGACAATCTTGGGAAACCCAGTCCTCCAGAGGTTGGAGTTGGGCTCTGTTTCAATGGGTTTCCAGGTACAGGTCTTTTTAACTTTAAAATTAAGACATGAGATATGGGAATAAACGTTTTAAGAGAAATTGAAGTCCTCTGCCCCTGCTCTCCTAGATTACTGTAGCTTCTATAGGGTCCTTCTATGGTAGTTCCTGGGAACTTGACCCAGCCCAAGCTTTGGTCTCTGAGGTTGCTACCATTCTCCTGGGCAGTACTTCCTCTGCTCTTGAAGCCTGAGCTCTGGGCCTATACCTGTTGGTGCTCTTAAGGTGTGGGACTCCCTTTAGGGGACAGCACTTCACCCTGTGGGTAGCCCACTCTGACTTAAGTTGGCCTTGCAGTTGGGAGACTAGGGCACCTCTCCATCTATGTGCACCCTCATCTGTCCCATGAGGTGTGGGCATGGCTGACTTGGACCATACCTGCCCCACATGGCTTTGCTGGGAGACTTCAGGTGGTTCTCTTCTCAGAAAGGGCTCTGCTGGACAGCAGTGCTGATTTTGAGTATGCCAGGGTCCAGGCAGGTCTGGTAGCCATACTGGGTTAGGTGTTTATTTCGGGATAGGATTGATATCCTCTCAGTGCCTCCTGCCCTGTTTTTTCCCCAGCCCACTGACACCCCAGACATTAAGAAAAGGGAGAGTTCTCCAACCTACCCTTGATGTTTACATAGGACCCTCATGTCTCCTCTTTGCATAACTGAGTGTGGACTGCTCCTCTCAGGGCACAGTTTACTTACATGTCAAGGAGAAGTGGAGCCTGAGGACTGAAGGACCAGGGACTCCCTCCCAAACTAGCTCACCAAGAGGTGTGAGATCAGTATACATGCAGGTTTCTTTCTAGAATAGGCTAGCAGTAAGCAGGGTATGAGACATGGGACAGCTCTCTGGAGGAAGGGTATGAGAGTGAGGTGGATTCTAAGTCCCTTTCCTGGGAAGCCTCCTGGGCTCCTGCTGGGGTCTCTCTCTCCATGGTACAGTGCCAAGCTGGGTTTGGTGCTGGGGTGGGCCCAAAGGCTTCCTCCAGGCAAGACTGCTCCCCCAGATCCATTTTTCAAAAAGACATGGATAATGCATGTCTCAGGGTGGGAATTGCTGTCAGGTGGCCAACCCTAGAGCTGTTAAGCCATTGGGGCACCTGAGGAGGGAGAGCTGGTCCTCAGGTGGACCTGAGTGAGCCCTCTACATGGTTAGAAGCCTAATCTGAGACAGCAGATAGTCCAGGTCTGGGCCCCTGGCAGCCTTGGGGGACTCAGGTAGTGACTGGAGTACCATGGGAGGGGACTGTGTTGTCCTGCTTGTGACAGAAGCTAATGCTCTTCTGAGCCAGTTTCTCATCTATCCAAGTGTTTAGGAATTGTAGAGGTAGGTGCAACTGCTTCCTACTCCAAAGCATTGGGGTGTCCAGGGTGAGTGACTGCTGTTGTGGCTCCTGGATGCCCCACAGGCCAATGATGCTCTCAGACACAGTGTTAATGAAGAACTTGATTTAAAAAAAAAAATGTCTTGAGTAAAAGTTTTCCATTCCACATTTAGCTTTGGAAGATATTCTGCCCCTGAAATCACCCCCTTACTGGGCAGTGTCTCTCTGCTTGCCTAGGCGGGTGGGGCTCTGGACCTCCACCTGGGTGGGGCACATAGTGACGGTTTGTGTTTTTGCCTGAATTACTGTTGCTCAGAGGGCATCTCAGATCTAGAGTTCTTAGAGCCCTGGAGCTAGGAACACACACACACACACACACACACACACACACACAGAGATTACCCCCCACAGAGAGACACAGACACATACACACAGACACACGCACAGATGCTGTCCACATACAGACACATACACACAAATGCCCCCCACACAGAGAAGATACACACAGACACACTCAGAGATGCTGTACACGCACACACACTCACACTCATACACAGGTGCTGTACACACACATACACACACACTCACTAGCAGGGCTTGAGCCAGCCAGGCTCGGGCTGTAGCAGATAGTACCTCCCTACTCACTGAAAACCAGATGTCCCACCTGCAGACAAGGCCTCTAGTCTGCCTGACTTTTTCTCACCCTCCTGCAAGTTCAGGACTCAAAGTGGTGCCTACAGGGGTGTGTGGGCTGTCTCCAGCTGAGACCTCTTGGAACCAACCAGGGTGGGGCTGGCCTGGTGTGTCTGGTAGGCCCAGACTGGATAGAATGGATTCCACAGGCAAGCACTGTAAGTTTCTTGAGTAGAGGACTAAGCAAATAAATACCTAGTGATCCTGTCTGCCACCTCCTTCGGGAAAGCTGGCATGTCCTCAGGTATTCATTCTCCTGTGTCTTTGTGTGTGCTCATGCTTGCCCTGTCCTTGGGCAAGCAGAAAGAGGCTGAGAGCTTAGCTTGCCTGAATCCCAGGGTATGGGCAGCTGACCTGGGTTAGAGCAGCCTGAGGGAGGAGGAATGTCCATATGGGTGTATTCATGTGTGCCCATGCGGCAGTCTGTGGTTATGAGCAAATGTGCAGGTATGTCTATATGGTGTGTGTACTCCCAGTAAGTGCCTTCATGCAAGTCTTCCTGCATTTATCTATATCTACAGCTGTTTGTTGTTCATGCATGTGGAATGATTGCCTGTGCTTTCATGTATTTGTGAGCTGCAAATTCGTGCTTCTATTTGGATACATATACATATCTCTGGATATGTGTCTTGGAGCATGCTTGTATTGACATGTACTCTTGTTCATGTTTTTACATGTGCCATTATATGCTGTGCTCCTCACTACAACTCCTGACCCTGCTCTGTGCACAGGCTTTCTGAGTCTGGACACTATCCAGACCCTGGTGGGGAGACCACTAGGCATTTTTCTCTTAGAGGCTACCTAGGCCAGAAAGCCTCCAGCAGCATCTAGAGAGGACAGACGCTTGATCCTTTAGGGGCTTAGAAGTTATACAAGGACAGTGATTTAGTGACTTTCCAACTCAAAGTGCACCAGACCTTCTGACACTTGAGGCCCCGCTGTATGTTTATGCAGGTGGTGCTCACACTGGCCAGAGGCTACCCAGCACCTCACCACCACCAGTGCTACCCCACCAGGGCAAATTGCCAAACATGGCTCAAGGGCTGCCTCTTTGCTCCTCCGGCATTTCAGGGAAATCATCTGGTCCATATGGCCTGCTAAGGAGCTTGAGGCTCTAGGGGCAGCAGAATACAGGCTTGTGGGGAGCTCTTCTGCCTTGGGCTCTGTCTATTTCATTGAGAGTACATCCCTGAGGCTAGCCCAAGTGAAAGCCAGGAGTCAGCCTGGTCCCAGTGGTCTTCAGCTTCTTGGCTAGGAACACCAAGGGCTTCGTGCAGGACAAGATCTTGTAAGGACTGTGCCTGGTCTCCCCATGTACACCCCTACCTGATTCTTACACACCTGTGTCTGTCTCCCGTTTACGGCTGCCATGGGACTCCTCACCACTTGTGCAGGTTGCACTAGGGTTTAATGCTTTTGACTTTCTAACATGGGGTCCTAGTTTTTCCTTTGTACCCGTGTGGAACCAGCCCCTCCGTCATACATGGCAAGGACCTGGTGTGTTTTAGCAGGTCAAGCTGGAGCGGACCCAGTGCTAGCAGGCTTGGCTGCTTCTCTGAGGGGTGTCTCCCCTATCTACTGAGCTCTTCACTGCTGGCTGGGCTGGCCATACCTCAGGGTGCCACCGTTGCTTTGCAGAACAGTATGGATTAGAGGTCACAGACATGTTTTCAGTGCTGCCAGTCAGGGATGGGGAATATAGAGTGTGGCATATGAGGGTGTGTGTGAACACTTCTGATGGACCCTCATGACTGTGGCCTGTGTCTTCCTTCATGCTGTATGTCCATGCTGGCCCAGGGAAGAGTACAGGGTATCATGGCTGGTGGCCCCATAGAGGGTGCTGCCGTGGGAAGCAGGAGCTTTAAATAGCCTCTTGCTTCCCACTAAAAATAGTTCTGCTGCCATGGAGGTGGTTGCTGGGGCGGCGGGCCTGGCTCCTGGCCAAGGCAGGCGTGGGCGAATAGTGTGGACGGTGCACTCGGGTGGCGGGTAACTGTGAGCCCTGCAGACGTCTGCCATCACTGCCTTGTGGTTAGAGCAGCCATGAGGGAATCCCCACTGGCCTGGCTCCACAGAGGACCAAGCACAGGCAAGAGAATAAAGCCCTGTGTATACCCACCACCTACCTGTCTCAGCAACCAGTGACACCGAAGAATACACTGGGAGCCCGAGGCCAGAGGAGCTTCCTGAACCTAGTGGATGGACTTCAGTACCCACTGCAGGGTCAGGCCTGGGGGCTCAAGACCTGGCATGTCACTGTGGAGGGGATCAGAGCCAAGGCAGGTGTGTTTGAGGGAGATGTGCAAAGCCCCTGCAGAGAAGCTACAAGCCTTCTGGAAGGCTTCCTGGAAGAGGTGGCAGCCTTGCCTCCAAGTGCTGTGGGATAGTGAGAGATGAGGAGGGTTAGGTCATGCTTTTCCAATGTTTCTAGGTCTCCACCTTGTGAACAAGGTGGCAAACCCAAAAGAAGGGACTGTTAGGACTACAGCTGTGCCCTGCCAGAAAAAGGATGCCCCACAGGCACTGTCTGAGCAGGATCATGACTCCCCATACCTTGGGAAGTGCCCCTGCTGAGGAGCCTAGAGAGACCCAGCTCTGGCTGGCATGGCTATGCAGGTTGCTGGGTAGCTCGCTGGCCTCAGTTCTCAGTCCCCCTCTGGGGCTCTTAGGAGTCTGGCAGCCTGGACAGGTTGCAGCTGGGTTGGCCCTAGGCTGATGGGGGCCTCTCCAGGGTATGTTCTCAGCTGTGAATTGTGTTCCTGGGGGTTGCCAGGGTCAAAGAGCTTGGCATGGTAGAGACAGCCAAGGAGAATCAATGGGCTGAGATCTGCTTGTATGGCCGCCAGTGGCCCTGCTAGTGGTCTGGTGGGCCCAGATGCATACATGTGACCTTGCCTTCCTCAAGACCCCCAGACCCAGCTCTCTGCCCATTTATTGCCCATTGCAGGTGCCCATGGTTGACAAGAGCGGTGTCTCCAGCTATTCCTGTCTACAATGGCATCCTCTTCCTCTTTGTCTTGGCCAACTTCAGTATGGCTACCTTCATGGACCCTGGAGTCTTCCCCCGAGGTAGGGCCCTGTATTGGGCAGCTAGTCTGCTTCTTGGGATTCCCAGTGGGTGAGCTGAGCAGAGATTAGAGAGATCCTCTCCTGCTAGGAAACTCACCTTCCTGTGCTCTTGTCACCTCACTGGGTTCCTGGTGTTCAGCCGATGAGGACGAAGACAAGGAGGATGACTTCCGGGCCCCACTGTACAAGAATGTGGATGTGCGGGGCATCCAGGTCCGCATGAAGTGGTGTGCAACATGCCACTTCTACCGTCCACCCCGATGTTCACACTGCAGCGTCTGTGACAACTGTGTGGAGGTGACCACCCCTGCCCCTTCCCTCACCAGGCCCTGTGCCCATTTCCTACCCACCATATGTTCTGACACACTGCCCCTGCCAGGACTTTGACCACCACTGCCCCTGGGTCAACAACTGCATTGGACGTCGCAACTACCGCTACTTCTTCCTGTTCCTGCTGTCACTCAGTGCACACATGGTGGGTGTGGTGGCCTTCGGCCTGGTCTACGTGCTCAACCACTCAGAGGGACTGGGAGCTGCCCACACCACCATCACGTATCCTTGATCCTCACATGGTCTGGCCCAAGGCAGTGTCCCAGGGGGTCAGTGGGTACCTGACTCCCAGCAGAAGAGTCACTGTGCTTAGGCGAGAGGGGACTACAGAACTGTGTCACTGTAGTGGGAGTGGGTTCCCTCTGTTCTTGCCTCAGCTGTTGGCCTTAACGGGCCAGCATGGCTGTCATGTGTGTGGCTGGCCTTTTCTTCATTCCTGTCATCGGCCTCACTGGCTTCCACGTGGTACTGGTCACGCGGGGGCGCACCACCAATGAGCAGGTGCAAACCCTGTGGGCTGGGCCTCAGGGACCCTCACATGAGGTTGCTTAGGTAGCAATGGGAGGAGGGGCTCAGGGTGTGGGACCATAGCTGCCCATCCCTTGTACACTTGCCACTCGTGGACATTACAGCCACCAACAACTCAAGGCCTGGAGATGCTTTAACTTCCTGCAAGGGCAGACAAACATATCCTGGGTATAGGGCACTGCTGGGCCCGCTGGGCCTACACTGCCTCTAATGAAGACCACTTTTAAGGACCCCACCTACCTTTGCTTGTCTCTCTGCCTGTCCTGGGTGGCCAGGCTGGCTGAGGGGGTCCCATGCCCACAGGTGACTGGGAAGTTCCGCGGGGGTGTGAACCCCTTCACCCGAGGCTGCTATGGGAACGTGGAGCACGTGTTATGCAGTCCCCTGGCGCCCCGGTGAGGCCCGGCCTGGGCAGGGGGACGAGGAGGCCTGTTCTGGGTGTGGGGTGGTCAGTCTCAGACCCTCAGCCTGGTTCCTTTTTGCTCTGACCAGGTGGGGTTGGCCCTGCCCTTGTTTTTCTGGCCTGCCTGTCTGGCCACTTACCTCTCTGCCCTGGCACAGGTATGTGGTGGAGTCCCCCAGGATGCCGCTCTCAATAAGCCTAAAACCACCTTTCCTGAGGCCTGAGCTCCTGGAGCGAGCTGTGCCCCTCAAGGTCAAACTTAGTGACAATGGACTGAAAGCTGGTCGCAGCAAGGTGGGGATTTGGACTGGAGCAGCAAGGGGATGAGAGTGGGGCTTTTGGGATGTGTGGGTGGGGACAGGAAGAAGAGGTAGAGGGACTAGGCGAGTTTTGTGCATGTATCTAGAGTCACAGATAGGTACTATTTAAAAAACCTAAACTTTTCCAGCTAGGCATGACGGTGCATGCCTTTAATAACACTCGGGAGGCAGAGACAGGTGGATCTCTGAGAGTTCAAGGCCAGCCTGGTCTACAGAGCTAGTTCCAGGACAGTCAGGACTGTTACATAGAGAAACCTGTCTTTAAAAAGACAAAACAACAACAACAAACCTCACCCATCATTGCTCTTTGCTAGTCCAAGGGCAGTCTGGACCAGCTAGATGAGAAGCCTCTGGACCTTGGACCTCCACTGCCTCCCAAGATAGAGGCTGGTACCTTTGGAAGAGATCTGAAGACACCGAGACCTGGCAGTGCTGGTGAGGTAGAGGGCAGCTAAGGACAGGGACATAGCCTGGCCTTTGTGTGATTCCCCCATGACTGTGATCCCTCTTCCTAGAGAGTGCCCTATCAGTACAGAGGACCAGCCCCCCAACACCTGCCATGTATAAGTTCCGGCCAGCTTTCTCCACTGGTCCCAAGACACCCTTTTGTGGGCCTAGTGAACAGGTAAGGCCAGGCTTTGCCTCTGGGAAGGGTCCCAACTCTGGAGACAGCCCTACCTCTGGGAAGGCTCCATACCTGGGAGGGACCTGCTCCTGGAGAAGGTCTGCCCCTGGAGACGGCCTTATTTGGTCATGGTGTCCTGTTCCCTTTTCTGTTGTACTCCTGACAAGGCCATACTTGTCACAGAGTTGTCATGTGCATGCTGGCAGGACTCCATCCTGTGGCATGCTGAGCTGGGGTCCTTGGAGGGGCCATGTGAGGTGTTTGTTGGCATTGCCCACAGACCAGTTAGGTAACTTTGTCCTCTAGCAGTTAGGATGTCTGGAATTCCACCATTAGTCGCTCTGTAAGACTCACAGGAAGCCCTCAGATGAATTGAAGGTTTGTTTGAGGAAGCACATATCTTTTCCCGAGTTAGATACTTCTTTGTCTACCACTGAGGCACAGTCTGCAGCATGGAACAGCCTATAGGATATTCCCAAGGCTGCCACACCTTCTAGACTAGTTCCTCACATCTAGAGCAGCTCTATCCTGGAGGCCCCTTTGCCTATCTGGTCCATTATGAGAGTGAATGAGCCTGGGCCTATATGGGCAAGGGTCCATTCTAGAGGCAATGAGGTAGCCCTGCTGCCTAGCAGGTGGGTTGTAGAGGTTGGAATGAGGTGCTTCAGACCCTCTTCCTGTGCCACTACCTCCTTGTGGCTGATATGTACCCACCAAAGAATCTATAAGGCCGCCTGAGTACACAGGACAATGTTACTTGTAGGCTTTGGAATCTGAGGGGCTTGTGGTTCAACCCTAGTCACAGAGACTGAAGAAGCCTATTTCTGGAGCCACTCTAGGTTGGAGAGACTCAAGACCACAGACCTTGTGTCTGCAGAAACCAGCTCTGTCTGGTCTTCCACTTAAGAGCCCCCCCTTAGTTGCCTTAGGAAGGGTCCATATATAACATATATAGCCTGTCTTAGTGATTGTGGGTAGAGGCAAGCCCTACATCACCTCTCCTTGGGAGACAAACTCTAGGAACGTGGTGCTGAGTCATCTATTCCAACTTCCATCCATAGTCGGCGTGGAAGGGATGGATGTGGGCAGGGATGGGAGCCTTTTGTTCTGTAGATTGTATCAGTTGTCCTTGCTTCTGTGGCTGGTGTATTGAATCGCTGCCTCAGAGTTTTTGGTGCTGTAGGGTCAGGTAAGGGGTGAGGGGTGGGCAATGGTGAGAATACCCTGTCCTCCTACAGGTCCCAGGCCCTGACTCCCTTACTCTGGCAGATGACAGCACTCACAGTCTAGACTTTGTGTCCGAGCCCAGCCTGGATCTCCCAGACCATGGGCCTGGTGGTCTGCATCCTACCTATCCCCCTTCCCCACCCCTCAATGCCACCGATGCCTTCTCAGGTGCCTTACGCTCCCTGAGTCTCAAGGCTGCCAGCAGGCGGGGTGGGGACCACATGACCCTACAGCCACTGCGTTCTGAAGGTGGGCCCCCCACACCCCACCGTGGTCTCTTTGCTCCTCATGCACTGCCCAACCGAAATGGCAGCCTGTCCTATGATAGCCTACTTAACCCTGGCTCACCCAGTGGCCATGCATGTCCCACACACCCTTCCGTTGGCATGGCCAGCTACCATTCACCCTACCTGCACCCTGGGCCATCAGATCCACCACAGCCCCCATCCCGCAGCTTCAGTCCTGTGCTGGGTCCCCGGCCTAGGGAGCCCTCTCCTGTGCGCTATGACAACCTGTCTCGGACCATCATGGCCTCTATCCAGGAGCGCAAGGACAGGGAAGAGCGTGAACGGCTGCTGCGCTCCCAGACTGACTCACTCTTTGGCGATTCTGGTGTCTATGACACACCCAGCTCCTACAGCCTGCAACAGGCCAGTGTGTTAACAGAAGGTCCCCGTGGCTCTGTGCTGCGCTATGGCTCCAGGGATGACCTAGTGGCTGGGCCTGGCTTCAGTGGTGCCCGAAATCCTGCCCTGCAGACATCATTGTCTTCACTGTCGAGCTCGATAAGTCGAGCACCACGGACATCTTCTTCCTCCCTGCAGGCTGACCAGGCCAACAACAATGCCCCGGGAACCCGGCCTGGCAGTGGTTCGCACAGGTCACCTGCCCATCAGGGCCTGCCTTCCCCACCAGGCACTCCCCGATCACCCTCTTACACAGGCTCCAAGGCTGTCGCCTTCATCCACACGGACTTCCCGGATCGACCACCCTCACTGGCTATGCAGAGGTGGGTGCCCAGTAGTATAGATGGGTATCTCCATGCAGGGTCCCTTATGACCTGGTTCTCCCAGCTCATCCTGGAGACCCATGGTTGTTCACAGGTACAGTGCAAGGTGGGTGGGCCTTACCTTGCCTAGTTAACCCTTTTGTGTAAGGTTTGGCTCTGGGTACATGATGCATGTGTGAACAGACACATTTGCATGCTGAACCATTACAGACTTGGTCTAGGGTCCTCCCAGGAGCCAGCCATACATGGCTCTATAGACTCCTACCTTCCCAGGGACACTGTCCTCCCCTGGTCTTGATATATTCTCGGGATGCTGAGAGGGATATTGCATACTTGAGCATGCAGCACCAGAAGGCAGGTGGCCTCCATGTGTAAAACTTGGGAGGGGCAGGTAGGACCCAGGCACCTGAGCATGGGTGAGGTCTGAGAGGACCTGTTTAGGCTATGTGGCTACAGAGGACCCATGGGGCAGGCATCCATACCTGTGTAGGAGCCTATTTGGTTTTCTCAGGGGAATAATAGCTCTGTCCAGGCCAGAGGATCCAAGCACTGCCCCTCTTCCTGAGAGACAGTGGGGAAAGAGCTGGGAGTCCACACTTCAAGCCCATGGGCAGGGTAGGGCTAGAAATTCAGGCTAGCTGTTCTTTGTCTGATCCAACTGGGAGAGATCAAGTTACCTGTGAGGATGACAGCAGTTCTGGCAATGTCTGTCCATAGCACAGTCCTCTTAAGGACAAGGACTAGGGTCCATATCTGCATGTGTCTTATTGCCCACTGTCCTGTGTTCACTGTGTGTGCATGTTTTGATGCAGGGATCACCCTCAGCTGAAGACCCCCCCAAGTAAGCTTAACGGGCAGTCCCCGGGCATGGCCCGTCTGGGGCCTGCTGCCAGCCCTGCCCGGCACACGCTGGTTAAGAAGGTGTCCGGCGTGGGTGGGACTACGTACGAAATCTCGGTGTAAGAACTGAGCACCACTCATCTGCTGTGACTCCACGGGGACAAGGACCCCCACAGTAGCTCCCCTACCCCCATCAACTTCTCTGCCCCAGAGAGAGGAGGCTACTCAAGCCTGGTGTGGACACATCAACAGGAAAGAAAGCCCTGCCTCCACAGCTTGTGCTCCAGCCTCTGCCTGTCCATCCACTTATCTACTCACAGTGCAGATGGATCCAAGGCTGTGGGCTGTGATGGGGACCTGGACTGCCTCCTCCATCAGCCAGTCTCAGCCCTGCACCCTATTGCCCTCATCCCCCAAGGCCAGTTCCCAATGGTCCTATGGGCCCACTCTATCCTTTCTGGATGGGTTGCTGTAGCCCCGTGCTCCCAGCTGCTCCTAATACATGGCCTTTCACTGACCTAGCTGGTAGCTTGTTGCTTGGCAAGGCCTGTGCTTTGCAGGGAATGTAACCCTGGCCTGCTCTGGGTTGGGATGGATGGATGGATGGATGGACGGATGGACAGACGGGCAGATAATCTATCTGTATCAGGGGTCCCAGCTCCCCGTGCTCATGTTTTGCCTGGCTGCTGGGTTTATGTCCCTGTGTCTATGCTGTGCTGCTGTGCCACGTCTGATGTGTTAGTGCTCGGCTGCCACTGTTCTTTCATCAAAGCCTTAACTTCTGCTTTATGCTCTTGTGGGAGGTGATGGGGGAATGATAGGCCAGAGCAGGGAGGGGGCCAGATGCTGCCCCAGGACTGGTGGTGCCTGGAGCCCCCTCCCTCCCTCTCAGGCCTTCCCTGCCAAACTGGAGAGTCCTCACCCCAAAGCATACAGAGTTCCCAGCACTGGCTCTGCCAGTTCCGCTGGAAAGCACATCAGGGAGGGTTGGTTCTCCCTCTGGTGTCAGGGACCCGAGTAAGCACATGGCAGCGTCTGCTTGCATTGTCTGTTTTACGTTTTTATATTTACATCTATATATCTATAATTTTATTAAAAAAAGGAAAAATCATTTTGATCCTTTCCTTGGACAAGACTATGGCTGTGGATGCAAGGGAGGGTTCAGGAAGGGGGTTGGCCAGCTGGCACAGGATGGCACATTCCTCTTGGACATTTCTGATGACATGCCAAGTTAGGCCTAGTTGGTAACAGGCCTTCATCTGGTGAGTGCAAAGATCTCAAACCCCCAATCTGTGTCATGCCAGATAGCAGGGTGTGTGGTGACAGGCTAGAACCATAGCTGTCTCATAGGACTCTGAGGCAGGTGCAATGGAGGGTATGCATGGGGCCAATGCTTGACTAAGCTCTATAGAAATTACTGTACTTTCTAGAATTCACTCTTCTGTGCTATATGCCAGGGGAGGGATTGAGGTGTGCCAGAAAGCCACATTTTTCTGAGATGGGACTCAGAGCAGGGCTGGAGAGGGCTGGGCTAGGTCCAATATTTTGGAGAGGGATTTTCAGAGACTCAGAGGGGAGGTATCCAGAGCCTAGGGCCCCATGGCTGTACCCCCCAGCTGACCTCCACCTTTTTGCTTCTCTCTCATGGACATCGGCCCACAGGGGGCGAATTGGCACCTGTAGTCGTGGATGGGGGTGGCGTGGTCCGCCCAGGGGGAATCCTGGCCTGCACCTGTGCCACCTTGGCCATCCTGAGGAACACCCGCCGCTGCAGGCCCCCTGGAGCGTGGCCGCTGGGGTGCCCCCCCGTGGGACCATTTGCCGGCTACATTCTGCTGCATCCAGCCTTTTCCCCAGCCTCTCAGGTCCCTAGCAGGACACCAATAGGTGGCTCTAGGGCCATGGACAACTTGCTGGGGAATGCAGAAGACCAGGCTGCTGTAGAGCTTAGTGTGGGGCTGGATATGGCCCAGGATCCCTGTCCATTCCCTACAACCAGCCACATCTTGACTGATAATTCTGCCAGGGCCCATGACCCTGTGTCCAGGTGACCTCAGGAAGTCTCCCCCCCTACCTGCTGCAGGGGCCCAGTGCCCCACTGGGGGTGGCCCCAGAACTACTGGGAACCAGCATGACGTACACCCCAGCCTCCCTATTCCTTCCAAGCACTTTAAGCCACTTCCTCTGGGGAGCCCAGGCCTCTGTGGGTTGGGCTGGAGTTGGGGGGGGGGGTCTCAGGTCATTGTAGGTTACTGCACTCCTCCATTCCTCCCCAAGCACATGAACAGATGCCTTAAAGTCCTAGAGCTGCCAACCAGCCCGATGGAGCATTGACCTGGTACATCCACCTCTGTCTCTTACCTGCCTGACCCTTCCTGGGCTGTGTGTATTCAGGGGTGATGCTCTGGGAACACCCCAGCCTACAGGCCTGGATGCCCCTAGGAGGGCATCCCCTAGGAGGGCAGAGCCCCTGCCAACCCCCAGTTTTGCACTGGGGCCCTGTCCTGGGGTCCACTCTGGGCAGCAGCTGTGTCTCCCAGACACAGAGCCTATAAAGCTCTCTTCTGTCCTACAGGATTTCCTTCCCTCAATTCCCTAATAAATTTTTTTTTGTGTGTGTTTACCTCCATTGGCACTATCCAGCAATGTGAATCCCCTTACTTTAGTCTTGGACAGTGCCAGGAAACTGAACTGACCAGGACTTGGGATGAGGGGTTGATAGCCCTGATGGGGTTGACAAGATGGGGTGGGTCAGCAACTGACTTCTGGGATCCTTGGAAGGGCCTGGTCCAGGAAGTGAGCCCCAAGGACTCTTGTAATTGCTCAGCTGTAATCTTAGGGGAGACAAACCTGCTGCACCCTCAAGCTCCGGGAGGCCTTTGTGGATACCCTTGGGGACAGATAGGAGCCAATACTGGGATCTGAGGCAGGGGCCTCAACACCAAAACCCAACTACCAGACCAAGAGTGCTTCAGAAAGTTCCCAAACCTCTTCTCCCAATGCCCCAGTTTCCATGGAAACAAGCTTACATGCAAAGTGTGTCATGACTGTATGTCCAGCTGCAGGCCCAGCCCTCAGGATAAGCCCCGCCTCCACCCTTTTCTGCAGCTCCTGGTAGGGACTGTGTGCAGCAGTGCTGTAGACAGGAACCAGTAAGGCCACTGGGTCCCCGGGCCAGCGCCAGCCACCTGGCCTCCTCCTTGCTGGGGCCTCTGGGCCTCCAGCCTAGAAAGGCAGGAAGTCGTCCACCTCGAGGCGCAAGAAGGGGCCCAATAGGGCCCTGAGCTTCCAGACGGCGGCTCGGCTCAGCAGGGGTGGCACCAGCCCCTCGAAGGGTGCAGGGTCCACCACGTACACGTAGGCTGCAGTGCAGGCCAGCAGAGCACCCAGCAGCAGCCTCAAGGCCAGCAGCCTGCAGGCGGTGGCAATTAAGGGGTAGGGAATGCCCATGGGGATGATCCTGGGGGACTGGGCTCTGTCCAGAAAGTGACCTACCAGAGCTGGCCCTTTAGGCCCTCCGAACATCCCAGCTGTGGCCTGCCTTTCTGTCGGGGAGGGGGCTGGGTCAGAACCTGTCCTCAGTACCTTGGGGGCCTTGGGGAAGGGCAGATCCTTAGCCCTGAGGTGCCCACAATATATGTGGACTCCTCTGTGGGTCACCCAGCTCTGCCCTGTCCCACTCCTTTCCCAAGGATAGTCTTTTACAACCACTGGACTCTAGGCCTGAGACCTAGTCCCTGAAGTCCCATTTCTCAGACCCTGGCAGTACCCTGGGTGGGGGACTCTAGCATTAGAAGGGATGGGGCGGGAACTCACTTCCATGCATGACATCTGCTGCTGCTGCTGCTGCTGCTGCTGCTGCTGCTTCCTAGCCTGAGTGCGGCAATGGGCCCTCTCCCTGGGGGAATCACACTGTGAGGACCATGCAGACCTCGCCCCCAGCCTGGCACCACCTCATCTGTGGGACTGGAAATCAGACAATGGTCCACCCCATCCCGACCTGGTTCAGCCCCAGGGTCCCTGCATCACCCCAGAATCTCCAGCTGAATGTCCTCCATCTGATCCAGCACACCTCGGATGTCCTTCTTGAGGTTCTAGGAGACAGAGGAAGAGAAGTTGGCCCTCTGCCCCTCCACTGTTCTGTACCCACTCCTGTCATGGCCATCTTCGCTACCATAGCCCTCTGATGACCTACCAGGAGCCCAGTGGCCTGGTTGTTCAGAGCCATGTGTACCTCAGCCACACCGTCCCACACCTGGGGGCAGGGAATGGGGCTGCATTATACTCAAGGATACAGGAGGGGCTCCCTCCCTCCCACCACCTGCCAACACAGGCACCTCAGTAATGGCCATCTTCTTCCTCTCAAAGGACAGTCGGATCTGCTGCAGCTCACTCTGGGCAGATAGGAGCGTTGTGGGCACAGGAACCTGCTCGCTGCTCCCTAGGCCAAGCCCCTCCCCCAGGGCCCACCTGGGACTGTTGCACAAAGGACACCCCCCCCCCCCCCCCGGCAGAGCTCCTGCTGCTGCAATAGCTGCACAGGTGCCCTGTCTTCCAAGGGCCGGGAGCTGGCTGATTCGGGGGACTGTGGGAAAGCTCCCGGGTCATACCCAAGGCTGTGGACAGCTCGAGGTATTGCTGCATGGGTCCGGGGCTGCGCACTCCGGCTTACCCAGGCCAGGGCTGTGCAGCTTGAGTGCTCGGCACACAGAGGCAGGAACTGCTGACCTGGCCCCAGGAGGGCCCCTAGCTGCTCCCGAAGGTCCTGGTTCTGCCTTTTCTGGAGTCGAGGGACACAAAGGGGGAGGGGTCTCCTGTCCTGGTTGCTTCTCAGGTAGGAAACCAAAGCAGGTGAGCGTGGGGAGCTTGGCCCATAGGATGCACTCACCAGGCTGTGATTCTCCTGTTCCAACTGTAGAAAGGATTGCTCGGCAGCCCCCAGTGTCCCACTCTGGAGCTGCGTGGGAGCTGTCCTGGGTGGGGCTGTGACCCCTCCTCCAGGAGGCAGGGTTGGACATGGGCAGGGCTTGGGTCCTGAGGTGGGGGGTCCTGTCTGCTTAGGTGGCCCCTGTTCATGCCCTGGGTGCAGAGGCCAGCCCCACTCTACCTCAGCCTCCATTTCTTGCCTGGACCCTGCTGGCTCTCGAGCTCTCTGTCTTGGTATCTCTCCTTCTTCACTTGACAAAAACATCCCGGGTGCCTCTCCTCCCACTCTGGGTCCCCCACCTCCTGACCCTGGAGCAGGGAAAGGTCTGGAAGACTCTAATGACTGAGTGGATTGAAGGGGGACCAGACAGGGCCACCTTACAAATCCCTGACAGGGCTGATCCAGGCATCCTCCATGACTGCTCGAAGCTGGGGCTGGGGGACACTGGGGATGAGAGTGTCCACAGGGCCCCGGGGGTTTTGGCCCCTCCATCCCTCCCTGTGACCCCTTCCTGACCCAAGGTCCAGGCTCTGGCCTGGCTGACCTGCCACTCTCTTTGAGGGCACTTTAGATGTCACCTTAGCTCACAAGTCTACCCAGGGTGACAGTCACAAAGGCCTGGGTACATCCAGGGAGGTCATAATGGGTTGTGGCTGTGGCTGTGGCTGGGACAGAAGCAAGGCTAGTGGGTCACTCCTGTTTCAGCCCTATTCTCCCTGTTCCCAAAGCACCTCCGACTATGTCTCTCCTCTATGTGTGCAGGAATATTCATGGTGCTCATTCATTCTCAGAAAGATTGCTCTGGGGCCCTGGGAGAAATCAAGTATTACAAAAATGGCAGTTGTCCCCACTCAAGTCAGGATCCAGCTGACTAAAGGCGTGTGGGCAAGAACCCACCTGTTTGATTATGCCCTCAGGTCCAGTCAGGTTGCCAATGGCCTGCTTCTGAGCCAGGGTTAAATCATAGCCATGTTCATGACAGCTGGCATGACACCACATGTGTCTAGAGGCATCTTACCCTGCTGAGGTTACACTGCAAAGTCAGTCTCAGGATATTCTCTGCTTCCACTCCATGAGCTTGGACTCAGCCCTGAACCTTAAGGGCCCTCTCCAACCTGAGAGGCCCTGACATTCCATGCTGACAGATATCTTGCTACTCACAGGAGGGTAGGCTTGGTGGCCAAGTCCCGTGTTTTGTTTATTAGCAGTGCTGGGCATGCAGTTTAGGGCCTTGTGTACATTCCATTACTGAGCTTCTCCCCAGCCTGGCTGTTATATTTTCTTTTTTCTTTCTTTTGTTTTGTTTTTTCTGAAACACGGCTTCTCTGTGTAGCTTGGAGCCTGTCCTGGCACTCACTCGGTAGACCAGGCTGACCTAGAATTCACAGAAATCTGCCTGCCTCTGCCTTCCAAGTACTGAGATTAAAGGCATGTGCCACCACTGCCCAGCCTTGGTTTTCCATTTTTAATAATGTATTTTTATTTATATGTATTGTGTGTATCTCTGGTGTATGCATATGAACACATGTACAGATGCACTCAGGGGCCAGAAGCTAACACTGGGTCCTATGACAGCACTGGATCCCATGGGGTTCCAGGTGGTTGTGAGCCAGCTGCTGTGGGTGCTGTGGACTGGTCCGGTCTTCTGCAAGAGCTTTTACCTGTTGAGCCATCTCTGCTCCCATGGACTTTCCATCTTGGGGTATACCATCTCCTTGATTTAATCTCTGTTTTTTCCACTTCCTTGGAACTCACAGATGTTGGGGCTCTCTAGTGTATCTTTGGTATTTGTATGTCAAATCCTTCAAGTCTTAAGTCTTCCTTACTTTAAAACAACACTTGTTTTTTTGTGTACATGCCTGTGTGTGATTTATTTGTATTCTGTGTGTATGTATGTTTTACTTGCTTTCATGTTCATCACACGCATGCCTTATGTCCACGGAGTCAGAAGATTCAGATGTGTTGTTCTTTTGTTTCAGGGTCTCCCACTGGGACTTGGAGAACTCTGATTAGTCCAGGCTAGCTGGCCATCAGCTCTAGCCAGATCTGCCACCTCAGGCCCTCTGTACTGGGATTACATGGGGGGGGGCACCAACCCTGGACTCTTACAGGGCTTCTAGGGATCCGACTCAGGACCTCAGGGTTCAGCGGCAAGCTCTTTACTGGCTGAGCTTTGGCCCTTCTCTCCCACTTCATTCTTGTGTCGTTAATGATAGGTAAGTTCTGAGGAATTTTCCAGTAGATGACTTGGCATTCTAAAGTATACGTATGTAAGCCTAGACAGTGCCATTTCCTGCACACCTGGGTGTAAAGAACCAGTTGCTCCTTGAGTTTTGAGTGGGACAGCGTGAGGAAAGAGCAGGACAGGGCAGAGTCCTAGATGTCAGAGGCTGGCAAGCAGAGCCCAGCTGTGTTTCACAGCAAATCCCTTTAAAAACAAACACAAAGTGCAGTGAAATAAGGAAAAGTCCCGTGGTAAAGCATGAGAGAGCGTGGTGGTCATTCACTGCATTTGCAGGGTTGGGCATGGCATCTTGTTTTGGTTTTGTTTGTTATACTATTTTTTATTTAAATTAAAAACAATCTTATTTTACATACCAGTCCCAGTTTTCTCTCCCTCCTGTCCTGTCCTCCTATTTCCCCACCAACCCTCCCCCCCCCATCCTACACCTCACTCCCCAGGGAAAGTAAGACCTCCCATGGGGATCATCAAAGTCTGTGACTTCCCTTGGGGCAGGGCCTAGGCACTTGCCCTTGTATCTAGGCTGAGAGAGCATCCCTCCATGGGGAATGGGCTCCTGAAATCTGAGGCACTGTACCTTGTAACCTTGTATGTGCTGCACTTTATTCAGCTGGCAGAACGGTTGGTGTGTCCTCGCCACTCCCGCTACAAGCACAAGGGATATGTTTTGTCATAATGCTTACATCATAATTAGTTGATGTGAGGTTTTCAATACTACCAAAAGTTTTTTTTTAGCAGTGATGGGGATGGAACCCAAAACTTTTGGACATGATAGGCAAGCAACTACTGTTGAATTGCACTCTCAGTCCTCAATATTATTTATTTATTTTTGGTTTCTCTGTGTAGTTTTGGAGGCTGTCCTGGAACTAGCTCTTGTAGACCAGGCTGGTCTCAAACTCTCAGAGATCTGCCTGCTTCTGCCTCCTGAGTGCTGGGATTAAAGGCATACACCACCTAATATTAGCTGTGCCCAGTTAATATTATACATTCTTATGGGACCACAAGTGGCCTGTAGTTGACCAAAGTATTATGTAGCACATGATGGTCTTTGAATTTCAGTGTGTGTGTGTGTGTAGACAGGGTTTGTCTGTGTAGCTTAGTAGACCAGGCTGGCCTGAAACTCACAGAGATATTTCTGCCTCTGCCTCTGCCTCTCAAGTGCTGGGATTAAAGGCATGCACCACCACTGCCCAGCATCAGTGGTCATATTTTTTTTTTTTTTATTCCTAAGGTGTTACTGCTAATCCCTATTAGACTCTTTTTCAGAGTGTCCTGTTCTCTTTCCAGGAAACAGTGGTTTTGGGGAGAACAAGATCTTTTGATGCCTGCATTGTCTCTTTCCCCTTTATGGTTCTTTGGCTCTGTTTTCCTTTATGTTTGGTCTATGAGACTTCTTATAGATACTGTTCTAATAAAAACATGTCAGTTTTCTTTTCTGTCTCTGTTTATGAGGGGGTTGAGAAAGCTAATGGGTACTTTTTGTATTAAATACAAAGATGGTCGAGGTCTAAGAAGGAAGGCCTTTTGCCACACATCTCCCTGCTCCAGCTCTGGTGTCTGGAATGAAGACTTAGACCTAGAGAGTTTGCCTAGAAAGTTCTCTTGGCAGTTGCCATAATCAGTACTGGAGTACAGGTTTGCCTCCAGCCAGTGCCCAGGTCCAGTAAGTTGTCTCCCTGAGTTAGCTCTGCACCCCATTTTTAGTTTCCTGACATCCCTTTACAGATGGTCCCTCTCCTGCCATCCTGCAGACATGGAATGGATACTCAGCAGAAGCCATTGAGACCTGTGACAGAGGAAGAGGTATATACTACAGTGGCAGCTCAGGCTGGGCTCAGCTGGAGTTCTGTATTTTTCTTTATATCCACAGTAACAGGAAGGCAATCATGTAATGGGAAGGACCTGGTGTTGCCTCAGTGTGTCCTAAACTACTCAGAAGCTGCCCACTCAGGCTGCTGGTGTTCCAAGCCCTCTGCCTGTCTACTACCCTCTGAGGTCTCATGGTTACCAGGATATGCTGGTCTCTGAAAGGCATTTGGTGTGAGGTGACTAAGGTAAGGGTGAAAGTCAGCACCAGCAAAGGCCCTGAGTAGCTGACATTGGTGGCGGTGTTCTGTGTTCTGTGTCTCCAGCCTGGTAAGTGTCCAGGAGATGCTCAGGATCTTCAGAGGCTCTTGTCCTGTATGACTACAGTGGTCTCACCCAGAGGCTATAGACTAAGGCACTCAGGTCTCACCTCCAGGTGTCCAGGTTGGGCCACAGCTGCTGAGCAGTTGTGAGGTAGTACCCAGGGCATTTATATGCTCTTTTGATCTCCTGTCTGAGACTCTGGGCTTCCACTTCAACCCGGAATCCCACATTTTTAAATCGCCTTACCTTTGCTTGGGCTGTGCCCTGTCTGGAAGGTTGGTTTCTTTCAGAGCCAACCCTGAAGATGCCTCCCCTCTTTCCATGGTCCTTGTATGGTCTTGAGTTTCAGAGTGTCCTGGGAGGTGAGGGAGTCTAGAAGGAGAAGAATCTTGGCTCTGCAGCATAGCTGGCTCCTGATCAGAGCATCAGCTGTACTAACATGTTAAACAACCTGAAAATTGGTGTGGTAGGTTGAGGTGAGGGCCTGTGTGGAGCTCCAGCTTCATGCAGAAGAAGGGTTGGTCTCCATTGGTCCTACATAGGTGCAGAGACTCACAGCCACACAGAAGTGTGGGAAACGAGAGTGTTGTTAGGAGCTAGAGTGGCCCTGGCCCCTGTTGCTAGGCAGCACATTTCCCTGGACACCAGTTGCTATGGCGGTTGCTTCCTGCTCATGTTGCCATGACACCCAGATGGCCTTGAGAAGCCTGGAGTGGTGGTAAGGGGCTAGCTACCCAGACACACTCATCCCTCCTTGGCTGGTGCCTAGAGCAAACTGAGGAGAGAAGAGATAGGGAAAGGCTGTGTTGCCCACAGCTTCTTGTCTACAGCTGGCCTGGGATGAAGAGGGGACCACGTGGTCTGATTTTACTTTTCTCACTATGGCCTTGACATTAAGTGTCCCATGTTCATTTCAGAGCCTGGTAAACCCCAAGTCAGAACCAGCTGCACCCCTGAGTAGTTCCCATCTTTAACCTTCGCTGGTTGAGACCCAGCCAGTCTGTCCTCTCCACTTGAAGCCTCAAAGCACCCTGCATAGGACTGGAGGATCCCAGCAAATCCCAGATAAATGGACCATAGGTTTTGTGGACATTGCTGAAGAGCCCTCTGCCACTTGGGACTCAGGCCACTCCTTTTCCTTCCCAGGACTAAATGTGAACTCCCCTTTGATCCATTAGAGATATAAAGTGACACTTGGCTGTGGCTCTGAGCCATGGCCTTGAATCTTCCAGGTGTCCTTAGACTCATAGCCAGAGGGGCAGATGAGGGATGAAGTGGCCTGTATGACCAAGTCATCCCAAGGCCAGAAGGTAGGGACTGTTAGGCTC